CTCTCCCCTGATACCTCCCAGAAGTTTTTTTTATATATTAGGGTGCTCCTGCATTGGGTGCATATATGTTTACCAAAGTTATAACCTCTTGTTGTATAGATCTCTTTAGAATAATGAAGTTGCCTTTCTTGTCTCGTGATATGGCCTTCACTTTGAGGTCTTTTTTGTCAGATAAAAGTATTGCTACCCCAGCATATTTTTCCTTTCCATTTGCCTGCTAGATATTTTTCCATCCCTTCACTTTCAGTCCGTGTGATTCCCTTGTTCCGGGGTTGGGTCTTCTGTAGACAGCATATATATGGGTCATGTTTGCCTATCCATTCATTCACTCCATGTCTTTTTATTGGAGCATTTAATCCATTTAAGTTTAATGTTATTATTTTTAAAAAATATACTTTATTGAGTTTTTACAGAGAGGAAAGGAGAGGAATAGAGAGTTAGAAACATCGATGAGAGAGAAACATCGATCAGCCGCCTCCTGCACACTCCCCACTGGGTATATGCCCACAACCAAGGTACATGCCCTTGACTGGAATCAAACCCAGGACCCTTGAGTCCGCAGGCCAACGCTCTATTCACTGAGCCAAACCGGTCAGGGCTAATGTTATTATTGATTGGCACTTGTTTGTAGACATTTCTGTACTTTATGCCTGTATTCCTTCCTCCCTGTCTATTTCTTCTTTTCACAGCATTCCCTTTAGCATTTCTAGCATTGCTGGCTTGGTAGTGATAAACTCCCTTAGCATTTTTTTTTTGTCTGCCAATCTCCAGATTTCCGCTTCTATTTTTATTGATAGTCTTGCTGGATTGAGTATTCTTGGATTCATTCCTTTGCTTTGCATCACTTTGTATACTTCATTCCATTCCCTTCTAGTTTGGTATGTTTGAGTTGAGAAATCATTTGATAATTTGATGGGGGATCTTTTGGAGGCAACTCTCTGTCTCTCTTGCAGCCTTTAAGATTCTCTGTTTGTTGATAACATTTGCTATTGTAATTATGATTTGTCTTGTTGTGGGTCTTTCGGGATTCATCTTGCTTGGGAATCTCTGTACTTGTGTGACTTTTTTGTTCCCCATATCAGGGAAGTTTTCTGTCATTATTTTTTCAAATAGATTCTCTAGTCCTTGCTCCTATTCTTGTCCTTCTGGTGCCCCTGTTATACATATCTTACTTAATTTTTGTTGTCCCAAAGTTCCCTTATGCTCTCCTTCATTTTTTTAATTTTTATCTCCAGTTGGTGTTCAGTTTGGGTTTGTTTCTCTTCCTTATTTTCTAACTCAGTAATTTGGTCCTCTGCTTCTTCTGGTTTACTGTTGAAACCTTCTATAGCATTTTTGATGGTAGCTATATCACTTTTGATTTCTTCCTGATTTTTGCATAGGTTGTTGATTTTCTCATCCATCTAGTTTATGAACTGTATGACCATTACTCTGAATTCTTTTTCTGTCATTATTGCATGACTCCATTTCACTTATTTCCTTTCTTAGTGATTTCTCTTTTTTTCCCTCTGGGCATTGTTCCTTGTCTTTCCATTCTAACTATCATCAGAAGGTCCAAACACCGAGTTGTGGGGGCCTGTGCCATGTGCAGTGGGAACGTTGTGCCACTGGAGTGTCACTGAAGAGATCCGACACTGAGGCCTGTGGCTGCCATGGGTCAGTGGGTGCCACGTGCGCTGAGAATCAGAGTCACGGGTGCTCAGTGCAGCCTCATGCATGCACCTAGAATTAGGCACCCTGCATGCGCCACACTGAAAAAAATAATCCCTGTGGTCATGCACCAAAAATCAGAGTGCCCTGGCGTGCACCAGGAGTCAGAGCCCCCGTATGCCCGCTCTGAAAATTGAGTATTGGAGTCTCTGTCGCTTGGTGGGACCTTGGGACAAGAATCAGGGTCCCTGTGTGCATGTGTGCCAAGAATTGGAGTCACTGGAGATCAGTTTGCTTGCACTGAGAATCAGGAATCCCATGTGCATGCAATGAGAAACAGTCCCAGCATGTGCCTGCCGAGAGTCAAGTTACTGGTGTTCAGTGCTGCCTTTTCTTGTGCGCTGGAAAGGCATGACTGTGGTGTCTGGTGGTTGGCAGCTGTGGATTGGGAAGACTCCGTTTTTGCTGCCTGGACCTTGTGCCCTTGATTGGATTCACATACCAGTGGTGGCTCACAGAGGCACCCGGTGGCTGTTTGTCAAGGTGGAGCACTCAGAGGGACTCTGATGCTGAAGCTGTTTGACTCGATGTGTCTGTGGGCAGGCTGCCTGGAAGGAGGGCATCCCAATTTCTATTGCCAGGGCATGTGTCCTTGTTTGGATACAAGTGCACCCAGCGGGGGCTTATAGCAGCACCAAATAGCCACCTTTGAGGTGGTGGGCTCAGGAAGTCTGCACGCTGGAAAGGCATGACTGTGGTGTCTGGAGGTCGACAGACTGGAAGAGGGAAGTCACACTTACTGCTGTAGGAGCCATGCACCCTTGGAGGTAGAAATCTTAAGGATCTGCAGGTCTGTGAGCAGGGCAGAAGGATTTTGACTGTAGTGACTGCAGGGTCACGGGCAGTGTCCAATGCCAGTCTGGGTGGTGGAGCTGATGAGTTCCTAGAAGAAGCTGCTCTCCCCTTCAAGATGACAAGGGCTCTGTGCCTGAGCCCCACAGCACAGGAAGTGCCATTGGCGATGGTAGGTGCTCCTGTCCAGGAGAGCCCGGTCTGCTAGCCTCTGATATTCCTGCTGGATTTAACTGTCCCTCACTCATTGACACCTATTTTCAATTGTAGTTTACACTCAATATCATTTTGTATTATTTGCAAATATATAGCATAGTAGTTAGATAACATACTTTACAATGAGAACTCCCTATATTTCAAGTATTCACCTTGTACAATGCATAGATATTACAATATTATTGACGATATTCCGTATGCTCTTTTTTACATCCCCATGAATATTTTCAACTACCAACTTGTATTTGTTAATGCCTTCACTTTTTCCACCCCCACTCTCCTCATGCAGCCATCAATTTTTTTCTCTATATATATTAGTCTGAATCAATCTTGTTTGTTTATTTTGTTTATTAGAATCCACAAATAAGTGAAGTCATATGATATTTGTCTTTCAATGTCTAACTTATTTCACTGAGCACAGTACTCTCTATATTCATCCATGCTATCTCAAATGGTATGATTTCATTCTTTATTTTGCTTGAGAAGTTAGTGTATATGTACTACCTATACTTTATCTACTTGTCTATTTTGGGGCACTTAGGTTACTTACATATCTTGGCTATTGTAAATAATGCTGCAATGAATATAGGAGTCATATATTTCTTTTTGAATTAGTGTTTTGGATTTCTTCAAATATATAACCAGAAGTGAAGTCACTGGGTCATAAGGTAGTTCTATTTTTAATTCTTTTGAGAAACCTCCATCCTCTTTTCCATAGTAGCTGCACAAATCTGCATTTCCACCAACAGTGCAAAATTGTTCCCTTTTTTCCACATCCTCACCAACCCTTATTGCTTGTTGATTTATTAATGAGAGCAACTCGGACAGGCATGAGGTGATATCTCATTGTGGTATTAACTTGCATTTCTCTAATGATTAGTGATGTTGAACATCTTTTCATATATGTATTGGCCTTCATGTCTGAGGTTTTACTGTCTATGTTTTATTCTAGGAGTGTTATGGTTTTGAGTCTTACATTTAAGTCTTTAATCTATTTTGAGCTTATTCTTGTATATGGTGGAAGAAGGTGGTGTAGATTCACTTCTTTTGCACATATTTGTCCAATTTTCCAACACCATGCACCGCTAGGCTGCCTTTATCCCATTGTATGTTGTTTTGCCTCCTTTGTCATCTATTATTTGATCATATTTGCATGGGTTTATTTCTGGGCACTCTGTTGTGTTCAATTGATGTATATGTCTGTTTTTATTCCAGCACTATGCTGCTTAGATTACCACAGCATTGTATTATAGTTTGGTATCAGTTAGCATAATACTTCCAACTTTGTTCTTTCCCAGTATGTCTGTGATTATTCAGGGTCTTTTATGGTTTCATATACATTTTTGGATTATTTATTGTACTGATATGAAAAACACCATTGGTATTTTGACAGGTATTGTGTTGAATCTATAGATTCATTATAGGCATTATAGACATTTTAATTATGTTAATTCTTTTGATCTGTATAATAATTTTTTTTCAATTTACCCATATTTACCCATGCTACAATTTCAAAATAATAAAAATATTTGAATGGGTTACAATAACATGGGCATGTAGGTATCTGGTGAACCCTTGAAAGAAAATCCACTTCTGATTTATACACTCTTGATTTCATGTTTCTATTTATGGTTTCTCAAAAAAAATGAGAAATGGGCTACACAGAACAGCAAAGCTATCAATTGAATATAGTTATTTTCCTTAAAGAGTTTAGAGACTAATGGTGATATCTTAAAATTATGTTTTAGCTACATTTACTCTTCACTCTTCAGAGGATTTTATTTTTTTTAAAGCTAATGCTGTACACATTATTTTTAGCATCTAAACAGTTTTCCTTAGATAATCTAGTGTTATTTCCAACATTGCTTCATTAAGTCTTGTTTGGGCTCTTCATTTTGATCCACAGCTTCATTTCCCCATGGGATCAAGGTGACAAAAAAGTACATTTGACCCATGTTTCTGTTATTCATTTAGTAGCTAATATTGACAATATAGAAAATACTCTACCATTTTTAGGTCCAATAACAGCAATAGGTTGTTGTAGTTGTTTTTTAAGCATATTTAATCTCTTCCAAAATTTCCCCCCAAAGTTGCATCATTGGTAAATTTTATGTTAAAGAAGCATGTGGATGTCCATGCTAAAGGAGGTATAACCAGAAGTTATACAGAGAGAATATGGCAAAGACACAAAAATCCCTGTCATAAAAATCTTTAGGTCCCTTGTCCTCACACTGCTCTTACTGTGATACCTGTTTTAGTTTTTGTTTGTTTTAATCTTTCAGGCCTGAATCCCAAAGCTCAAATATCTAATCTCCCTAGAGAGTGCATCCGCCATTTCTTTCCAAGACGAAAGTGTTTTGTCTTTGACCGGCCAATAAACAACAAAGAACTCCTAGCCCATATTGAGAAGGTTGTAGACAACCAACTGGATCCTAACTTCAAGGAACAAACAAAGAACTTCTGTTCTTACATTCTCACCCAGGCGAGGACCAAGACCCTCAGGGAGGGAATCACAGTCACTGGGAAACGTGAGTCTCCACTTCACATTTTGTGGAGCCTAATACTTGTTGAAGATATTATAGGATGTGTTCTCCAAACTTGTGTTTGATTCTGCATAGAATTATGGGTCTACAATTATTCATACTCAACGAAGACACATGTATACTTGTCACACTGTTGGGTGTTTATAAATTCCTCTCCAAAATTACAACCATTGACAGCAAAATCTGCAGTATCCATACTAATACAACATCTACTCAAAAGGAATCACTAACTGGGTAGAAAAATAGAATACACTGTTTTCTTAATTGAAGTCCTTTATAATGAATGAGATTTGCAAGGAGAATACAAAAGATATTTTTGGGGTTTAGACCAATTTAACAATGCACCTGAGCCCATAAAGCTCTGAAAATTTACAGGAAGCTTTAGAATTCAGAAAAATATAGGGTCACATTTATGCCCTGCCTCATCTGTCTACCTATGTAAGCAATTTGCTTCTAAGATTTTCAATGCAAAATTTTGTTTTCCAGGTATCCTTTAGTAAGTTAGATAAAGGAATGTATTGAATTATGTTAGCCTTGTGGTCTAAAGAAACATACAAATTAGAGTCAATGGGACAATAGTGTTACTGGAAGAAATATGTTCTTCTGTGGTGTTGTGTGAAAGGAATTTGAGGGACCCTTATGTAGGAGGAGTTTTACGCTATAATGACAAGTTTTATTAAAGTGAAAAGGAAAGTACACTCTTAGGGAGACAGAGAGCTGGCAGGCTAGAGGGCAGCTACTTCCCTGAGGTATTTGTGAACCTTTCACATATATATTTGGGTTTGGGAAAGGTCAGGCTTTCTTTAAAACTATCCAATCTTTTTCCTGTTTTCTTCGGGGCTTGTGCCCTTCCCTCATGCAATCTTTCCCCCATATTTTCCTGGTTTTGTGCCCTCCCCATTTATGGTCCACATTTTGACTCCTATTGCACGTGCTTCATTGTTTTGCTTGGTCATTTGGCTCCCATTGCACAGGTACTTAGTAAAGGAATTCTCTCTGTGCCATTTTTCTGCCATCCTAGTTAGTTAGGTGGACTCCCCAGGGTGATTGCAAGGCTATTTTTTTCCTATTTAATCAGGCTTTAACAGATGACTCATTCCACTAGCTCCCTGGTATCTTGTTAATATCTAACTAACTGCTTACACCAATAGCAGTAGATGGAAGTTGTGTGTGTGTGTGTGTGTTTCTGTGTTCATGCGTGCACACATATGTGTGTTGGTTGTGAGAGACAGACATACATATAGAGAGATTTAAAAATGTTGTCTACAAATCATAGATCCCTTTGTGTGATAATTGATATTTATCCCTTAAATTTCCTGGCTTATTAGGGCTAAGGACTCTGGTGGTGACTTATGTGGATGCCATCAACAGTGGTGCAGTGCCTTGTTTGGAGAATGCGGTTACAACACTGGCTCAGCTTGAGAACTCAGGGGCTGTTCAGAAGGCAGCCAACCACTACAGCGAGCAGATGGCCCAGAGAGTGAGCTTCCCCACAGACACGCTGCAGGAGCTGCTGGACCTGCACGCAGCCTGTGAGAAGGAAGCCATTGCAATCTTCATGGAGCACTCCTTCAAGGATGACAACCACGGGTTCCAGAAGAATCTTGTGGTACTTTGCCTTAGTATTTATTTACCCTTTGTAACCTTTTCATTGAAAATTAAGCCTAGAAAAGTCTTTCTGACCCCAGTACTCCTCTCTCAGTCATGGATAGAGTGGTCTGGATTCATATGAGAGTTGCAATTTAAAAAGACTGCATTTTCTTCTTCCTCTCCCCAGGTACTTTATGTAAAAATTTTTTTGGTCTCTGATGCATAATTAGCATAGACATCTTTCTGAACTGAATACTTACATTAATTTCAAGCCTGTCCTGAATACCCAAAAGTCATTCCTTTGCTAGATGCTTTTTGAGAACAATCTCCCATTCCCAGGAACTAAATTTCTCTTAGCAGACCCCCGCATACCAGGGTATTTTCAATTCCCATGGCTCCTTATTGTTTCATTGTGTCATTGAAAATGAAATTAACAAAAGTTACAGCTGCAAGGATCCATAGGGATAAGGGAATTCAACACCAATATTATTGATGAAGAGCCTGAGACCCAGCGAGATTAAAAGCTTTCCCCTGCCTCACATGGAATTTTCAGGGTTGTGAGTAAAGGAAGCCTTGTAATTCCTGTTTTATTCCATATCCTTCTCCAACAGAATGCCTTTCTCATGAGGACCACAGCTAGACTTCCTTCCACCCGGTTCTTTGGAACTTTTTCTCCTGGTGACAGCCCTATATACTTCCCTTTCAGGAAATCATAAAGGATAAGCAGGATAAGATCTTGCTGCAGAATGAAGAGGCATCTGTTAAATTCTGCCAGGAAAAACTTGAGCAACTTTCCAAGTCGCTGATGGAAGGTATTTCAGCAGGCATTTTCTCTGTTCCTGGTGGTCACAAGCTCTACATGGAAACAAAAGAAAGGCTTGAACAGGACTACTGGAAAGTGCCCAGGAAAGGAGTGAAGGTGAGGAATAAGGGGAGCATAGGGATCCTACAGATTAAAGTCAAGAGGGTCTCCTGGAAATTGGTCACAACATCAGTTGTGGGTAATATGGGAGCATGGGTATATAATGACTGTTTTAGCATTAAAGACCCACAATTTTGTCTTTCTTCCTAAAGAGAGTCACAATGTCCATTCTCAGAAAAGAATATGGATTTCTGAAATCCATAAAAGACAGAAGAGAAACAATCATTTTCCATCCAACAATATAACATTCAGTGAGTCAAAGGCAAACAATTTACAAGTTAAAGTCAGAATTTTTGTATTCCAGGCTGATCAAAAGAGAAAAGGAAGTCAATCATGTCCATAATTGCATACAGCATTAAAATACTTATGAATCTGAGATAGTTGACTATAGAGGTAGTGGTACAACCAATAATAATAAAATAATAATGATAATAATGCAATTCGTATTTATAGAACTCTTATTATTAAGGCATAGTATTGAGTTCTTTCCCTGAGAATTTTAATGTTATCCTTCAAGTAGCATTAAGAGGCATCTATACATTTGATGAACATTTCACACATCTGAACTGAGAGGCCGAGATGGGTTAAAATGACTTGGTCAACGGAACAGCCAGCAAGTAGCAGAGGAGAACAGCAACGCTAATTAGAGATAACATTTCTCCCTGGGAGGCAACTGTACAAAAGCACCAGAGACAGTGGTTGTGTAGAACTGAACATGGTTCTCTCTGGCTGGAATGTAGAGTGAACAGAAGAATGGAGCACTAGGGGAGAGACTTCAGGGGTATGAAGAGCTTCTGGGCTCTCTAATGAGACTGGAAACTGTGTGGAGACATGATGCGGTTTTAGTCAGGAAGAAAAAATAACATGGACATTATTATTTGAAGCCTATTCTTCCCAGTGGAAATTGAAGTTCTTTGTTCCTCTTGTCTCCTCAGGCACATGAAGTTCTCCAGAGGTTCCTGCAGTCTCAGGCAGCAACAGAGAATTCCATCCTGCAGGCAGACAAAGCTCTCACGGATGGAGAGAAGGCCATGGCAGGTAAGGGGCAGGGCTGGGCTCACAATCGGTGGCAGGTACCTGCACTGTCCTTTGACAGCTGCGAGAACAAAACCTCCTGACACGAGGAGCTTTCTCTCCTTCTGTGGGACCTACTCTCTAACTCTGAAAACACCAGGGCACACCAGCCAGCCAGGGCCTTTCCCATCACACTCTGATATGAGCTCTTGATGGTGTGGCAAGGGAGCAGTTCAGAGTCTTCTCACCTCCCCTTCCAGTTTGTTTTGTTATCAGAGCTCAAGAGGGTAGAGATTAGTCCTCACCTAATTTTCTTCCCTCTTTCAAACCTCCCTGGGGCAGCGGAGCGGGCCAAGAAGGAGGCAGCTGAGAAGGAACAGGAGCTGATGAAACAGAAACTACAGGAGCAGCAGCAGCAGATGGAGGCACAGAAGAGGAGTCTCGAGGAAAATATATTGCAACTGAAGGAGAAGATGGAGAGGGACAGAGAGACTATCATAAGAGAGCAGAATATGATATTGGAGCATAAATTGAAGGTAAGCCCTGCCATGGCCTCAGTAGTGCTCCATGGTCTTTGTCCTAGTACTTCAGGTGGGATGGAGAATGTTACAGCAAGACCATGGAGGAAACACCATTGCCATTTACTACTTGTGATTTGCTAAAACCTTGAATCTTCCCCTTGTCCCCGTTCTTTGTAAAAAGTATCTTTGAAATCTACTCTGTGCATATACTCTGGAGTGGTCAGTACAAGCATCTCATCTCTGAATACTTGGACAGTATAAATAGGCTCTGAGGTGTGATTTTGCGTTATTTTAAAATGACTTATTTAGCCTAAATAAACAGTTATTTGATACACATGTTTTTATTATGACCACCAATTGGTTTGCTTTACCAAGAACATTGCCTATTATCAGGAACCCCACTACCACCCAAAGACTCTAAGGTAGATCTATGCTGATGATAAACTATCAGAAATGCCCAGATTAAGAATTCAGGGAAATGACAGCTTCAAACTTGCTGCATGGTTCCCAGATATTGAGAGTCTACCCTAGTCATCTTATGGCAAAGGAAGCATTCCTGATTGGCTATCTGTACATGTTTATAATAGGGTTCTACAGCAATGTATAAGTTCCTATTATTTCTACATTTGGTTGGCCATATTATTCCAAGTGGGACTTAGAATTGGTGCCAGCAGACCAAGGTTACTTCTCAACTGATATTATGACTGGCATACATTACATTTGTCCTCAGGCCAGGCTTTGCATCCTAGCAAAACCCTATAGATATGTGAATATTTGTAAGACTGTAAACCAAGCTTTCTTTCAGTGTTTAGGTCCAAGCCAGGATTATTCCTTATTGAAAAATTATCCTTGATTCTGTAAGAGAAAACAACTTTAAGAGTGAAAAGAAAGAGTTCTTAAATAGGAAATGAAATTCTTGAAAATCATGGGAATTTATAATGTTTATTTCCCTTCTCACTTTTTTTAGGTTCAAGAAGATCTGCTTAGAGAAGGATTTAAAAAGAAATCTGAAGAGATGAATGCAGAGATCAATCATTTGAGAAATATGATTGATACTGCTCAAAATGATAATACTTCCTGGATTGAAAAAGCCATAGATGTCTTTTCAATATTGGTTGGTCCTGGTAAACTTTTTCGCATTGTGCAAGGCATAGGATCACTGTTTAAATGGAAATAATTCTCCTTTGAAATAAATTATAGAATGTGGCTATATTCTATGGCTTGTTTTTAGTGTGTATTCCTTTCAAGTTCATTCAATCAATGAAACAAAAAAGGTACTTACTAAAGAATATCAATGCGTAGCCTTCATTAGATACAATTAATGCTCGTATGCTTTGTTATAGCATGTTTACTTTATGAAATATGCATGTTTAAATAAATATACTTACAAAAAATTCATCGACTTATCGCTTTAAATGACAAAAGATTGGAATCTACTAAAATATTCATTGATATAAATTGGTAATATAATTGAACATGTGCACATGCTGGAATATTATGCAGCCAGTAAATAGAGAATTCAGCACTATTTTTTATAAATATACAACAATGTTGAATATATATTGTAAAGTGAAAAAAAGGAGGAACACAAGAAGTGTATAATGTGTTTACTGGAAAAAAATGTAAGTACTGTTTGCAATCATAGGTATGTCTACACACTGAATACTTATGGGAGCCCTCAAAGAAGTAATATCAGTTCCTACTCGGGAGAAGTGGGTGCAATCAGGGTAAACATGTCACTTGCTTTTCATTACATACTCTTTCTTTTTAATCCTGTAAAAAAAAAACAAACAAAGAAATGTAAAGTACAATACAAATAATGATAATAACAAGAAAATTTAAAAAATGGCTATTAGATCATGAAAGTTCTCACTGCTTCTAGAAATGACACCAGCTTGCAAAATTAGGGGTTTCAGCTTAAGTCAAAGTATAGAAAGTTTAAAATTTACCTCTGCATCTTGTTTCCTATTAGGCCTTGTTCTCAATCCATTATATTTGCTTCAAAACTAAGACATACACTTTCCTGTCTCTCTTGGAAATTTCAGGTAGAGTAACTTCTACTTCCTATCCTGAATTACACTTCTAAATTATTAGAAGCAAATTACTACACATAAGAACTTGCACTGGTGAGAGAGATCCTATCACCTTTAAAGGCACAGTGGTGGTTTCTGTGCTATAAGCAAAAGCCAAAGAGACATGTACTACTGCAGAACTGGATGGCCTGCTGGTGTTGGGGATGATAAACCTTGTCACATAGAAGCCAGGTTTTGGCATGTAAATGCCATCAGTATCATGGTTTGCCTTAGCTCAGGCTGCTTTAAAAAGTTACTATATATTGTGTGTCTTAGAAAGCAAATATTTATTTCTTTTTGTTCTGGAGGCTGTTAGTTTGAGATCAGTGTGCGAGCATTGGGGGTTCTTGGTCAGAATTCTCTCCTTGATTTGCAGAGGGCTGCTTTCTTGTTGTGTCTTCACATGGTGGAAAGGGTTGGGAGGAGCTCTCATGATTTTTATAATTAGGGTAGTCAAACAATAGTGCAAGAGAGAGAGTGTAAGTTAGTGAAATATAATTGTCAACTTAGGTTGACAATTATGTGTCAATCTATGTGAGAAAAAATAACTTTCAAAAATGGGTGTAAAATTTATATTTGGAGGACAATTTTTCTTGAAAATTCTGAAAATGTTCTAAATATTTTACTTCAGGAAAAAGTGAAGCCTAAATATAATGTCTGCACAACAAAAATGAATGCAGATACAAAACTGTAACAGATATGTGAAACAATAAATATTGACTGTATAAAAGATCATAATAATGTACTCTAGCATTAAAAAAGAGCAGATGAAATTAACATAAAATAATTCCTAAAGAGTCTGGATATAAATCAAGTATTATAAGGTCCTTGAATTGTTTTGAGGAGACTGAGGTGAGTAATTTTGGGTTTCATGATTTAAGTCTAAAGATTGCCATTTGTAATGTAATCAGTTAGAGAACAGAGAAAGTTTTCAATTTCTATACTAGGAGACTTAAAAATGACTTTCATACATCTCAGTAAGTAAAAAACAAAACAAAACAAAACAAAACAAAACAGAGGTAAAATTTCAAGTAAAGTTAGAAAATATTTTGAAGCCATGATGATCACGTTAGCCTAATGTATGAATGTAGTACCCTACACCCAACAATAGTAGAATATGCTTTATTGTAAGGCACACTAAGAAACATCACATGAATTTTACCTGTACCAAACCACAAAGCAGGATTAGTTATCTTATGTCAGATTCTCTAGAAGCAGAGCCTTGGTGATGGATTGTGTTCATGTCATTTATTGAGGGCGTGCTTTCAATAGAAGGGAAGCGGGAGAGGGCAAGAAAATAGAAATGAAACGAGGCTATGGTAGCAGGGAAAAAATGGCTTCAAGCTGATCCACTGGGATCTCTGTAGCACAACCAGCATGAGAGTTTGTCCCTCCTTGAAGCAAAGTGCTAGACATTTTTGCACCATCAGGCATTGTGTGTGGGCCATCCATCTTGAGCAGAGCAGCTACCATGCTGCTAAGGGAAATTCTCTAAAGAAAAGAGCAGCTGTGAGCTTTTTAGCAACGGACAGGCACAATGCCTTGTAAGATGATCAAACTGAGGCATTAACAGCAAACAGCACCCATATAAAGATTAATATTTGGATACCTCCCTTATGCCATGGTCTATATATGCCACACTTACCACCACTGGTGGGGTCCTGTCATCTAGGCCCGTGGTTGGCAAACCGCGGCTCACGAGGCACATGCTGCTCTTTGGCCCCTTGAGTGTGGCTTTTCCACAAAATACCATGTGCAGGCGTGTGGAGAGTGCAATTGAAACTTCGTGGCCCATGCGCAGAAGTCAGTTTTTGGCCTGGGCAAGTCTATTTTGAAGAAGTACTGTTGATATTTGGCTCTGTTTACTAATGAGTTTGCCGACCCCTGACGGGCAGCCGGTTACCTAGTTCTAGAATCCATTTACGGAAACTTATTTTTCAGACCTCTGTGGGTACAATCTACTGCTGGTTGAATTCCATAGAAAGCAAATTCTACAACTAAAATTTGTAAAATTTTTCTATGGAACACTACTGGAAAGAGCATTTATGAAAGGATGTGGAAGGAAATGGGACTGGGAAGGAAGGGAAGTTTAGCCACAGTCTTAACAATTGCTTCACCCATTTCAATGGAGAACTCTGGTCATCAGTAGTTCTTCTCCTTTCCCTAGTTTTTAAGAGATCAGTCATGGACTCATGAAAACCCTAAGAGTCAAGACTTTGGGTAAGGAAGCTGAAAATTGAGTTACATGTGTTTGTAGGAGAGGATGTAGTTTAGAACCAAGGAATCTTAGAAGGAGAGGTGAAAAGTGGTGAGAACGATGGATATATATATATATATATATATATATATATATATATATACTCCATTGAGGTTCAAGAGCATTCATGTAGGGTTGTAGAAGAAGGGCTCACAATAAAAAACAGAATGTGATGGGCAAAGAATTGAATTTGTAATGGCAAGTTTCATATGTGAAAATGTTATTTTTAATTCCAAAATTTTGACCCTGTGTTGTAGTTAGGATTCTATAAACAAACAAATAAACAAACAAAACAAAACAAAAAAACAAACCCAGAACAAAAAGGATGTGTATATATATAGAAAAAATTTATTGAAAGGAATCGGCTCAAATAATTATGGAGGTTATCAAGTCTAAAACCTGCAAGGTGAGCCAGCAAGCCCAAGAGAGCTGATGTTCCATTTCTAGTCTGAAGGCCAGGAAGAGCCAAAGTTGCAGATGAAGTTCAAAGTCTACTGGAGACTTTAGTATACAGGTACCTATTATTTACAAATAAATGCATCCTTGCAACTCCCACCCAGATAAAAATATAAAGCATTACTTGAATCCCAGTAATGTTTCTACTTCTAGTTACCCATGATTAACTACTACTCTGACTTTTATCACCAAGCAAAGTTTAGTCTGTCTTAACTTCATATAACACAACTTCATATACTCTTTTCTGAGTTCTTTGCTCAATGTTTTGTTTGTGACAGTCATCCTTGTTGCAAACAGAAGTCCATTCTCTTCATTGCTCCACAAAACATTTCTCAGACTTAGCACTCTTGATATTTTGGGCTGGAAACATATATATATATATATATATATATATATATATATATATATATATATATATATTTATAATTTGCGGGAGCTGTCTTGGGCATTGTAGGATGTTTAACAGGCAGCCCTGACCTCCTTCTGACCAGAACCCGCACCAGGGAGGAGCCTGCAACCCAGTAAATGCCCTTAACTGGAAAGGAACTCAGATCCTTTGGTCTGCAGGCCAACGTTCTATCCACTGAGCCAAACTGCCAGTTGTGTTTTTTTTTATTTTATTTAGAATGACAGTAAGTAAATAACTTAATTCAGAATAAAATCCAAATCCTCAATGTCAACATAAATAAAATTTTAGCACAACCTCTAAAGTTCCTTGGTTTTACATAATACATTTCTTATTTAGAGACTGTGGCTTTGTTTGAGTGACAGAACAATCAAAGGCAAACCTAACACAGATGGTGATGGTGATGATAATGATAATGATTGTGATAACAAGAATGATAGAAACAAATATAGTATTAACAAGAGCTCATTTTTATCTGTTCATGTTTTCTGCATTATTGATGCATTTTGATATTATTGCAAGGTTACACTGCAGAAAAAAAACTCAAATATAATCTTGGATGACATCAAATGGTACTTTTAAACATGACTGCATTTAATCACTCAGTGCGTATGTACTGCCCACTGACCATGACTGAGCACTGGGGAAGGCATTGGGGATTCTATGATAAGTACAGCAGACATGGTCCCTTTGCTCATGCATTATTTTTATATCAGAAAGAAGACATTAAAACAAGTTATACAAACAAATGTAACATTTGAATGTTTAATAGGCATTGTAAAGGAATCATACAGAGAGCTATGAGTAACTGTAGAAAGGAAACTGAAAATTTGGACCATTCAGCCAGCAATCCTTCATTGGAAAAATGAAGTTTAAGATAAATTTTCAGTGAAAACATTTAGGAAAAATGTTTGGGAAGAGAGTTTCAGACAGAGGAATGTTTGTGTACAAATGTCCTGTTTGGTGATGTATTGGGTGTGTTTGGTATCTGAAGCTGAGATAACATGTGATGAGGAGAGGGGCAGGCAGAAGTCAGAATATGTAAGATCTTGCAGCCATGGTATGGAGAAGGCAAGCTTTTAATGCTTTAGGACTTTCTGTAGAAAAAAGTGACAAGACAATTTGTTTTAATAAACTCATTGTGACTACTGTGTAAATATGAATTAGGACTGCCAAAACTGATAATCTCTGGCCATGCCT